TTCTTGTGTTTTGGTGTAATTTCCTTAATTAAATTCTGTTAGTTATCAATGATTATCATAATTATATTTTAGATTTTTTATATTTAAAAGATTCGATTATGTTTATCCGCAGTTAGTCAGACGAATTCAAATATGAAGCTTTAATAAGTTGTACTTATGCATAATTTACTTATAATCTTAAATTTTAAGTAATATGCATCAATAAATAATACTTCGTGCATAAAAAATTATTTTTAAAAGTTTTTGTCAAATGTTTTATAATATAGTATAGATAGTATAAATTATATGAAAACAAGATCATGGAAGACGTGACACCCTTAATTGTGAATATCTGATAAGAGTGAGTTTAGTTATTTTAGTGTTCCGTTTATATGTATAGTAGGTGGTGTAACTTATTATAGCATTTTTAACAGATTTAAAAGAAAATTAAAAGTCGAGAAGTAAAATTCAAAATCTTCAACAGATTTATATTCAATTCCAACAACTTTTACGTTTTAAATATTATAATAATACTTATCTGGTAAGTGCTTACTGGGTAATTTTTCTTACCGGATGAACATGACAAGGGTAAAAAATCCTACCCGGTAAGAGTAATGATAAAGATGAAGAGTCTTACTTGGTAAGTGAGGGTGACGACTCTTACCCGAATAAACGCTTACTAGGTAAATTGTTGCATACAATACCATTTTGATGTACTACAATCTTACCCGGTAAAATAAATTACAGTGTTGACTCCTAAGGGTAAGCGCTTACCGGGTAAGCATTTAGGTAAACGGTCCCTTAGTAAATTAATATTTTTATCTTTTTCTACACATTCAACTTAAATTATAACCGTAATAAATCAACTTTGATAAACTCAGTTGGCACAATTGTTGTGTACGTCTGGAATAGAACTTTGTACAGATGAGATATTCCACCATATCACTCAGGGCGTCAACCACTACCCCATAACCCTTGTGGTTCACATTTAACTTTTAAGATTTCTTATGGGTCGAAATATAATAAAAACGTCTCTCATTGTAATCATTTTCTGGAAGTTCTCTAATTTTGGAGAATTTCACACTTTATTTCCTACTGTTTCTTTTCATATTAAAGAACATGTCATAGTAAAAAAAAACTGTCCAAAATCTCCATTTTTTCTGTTCGGAAGAATCTGTTGAAACTGCTTTTTTTAATCAGAACCCATTTTCCAAGGTTTTGAAAAATAAGTTCTAAATCAAAACACAGTATTTCAAGTCGTTTCATGATACAACAGAAACCAAACACGTAGTCAACGACACAAAGTTAAAAGGTTTATTAGATACATGAAATTCCAAAAGCAGATCATCACTAACTACGATTGTTTGTTTACCTCTTAATAGTTTCATTAAGAAACAACATTTGAATCGTGAAAAGGTGAATCTGGTTCGGTAAAAAGAAAGTTTGCCTCTTAATGGTTCTAAAACACTCTGAATAATTTTGTATCTTGAGCCATTCTAAACCATCCATAATTTCATTATGAACAGTTACCAAGCATCCACATTTCGTTTTGCACTATATCACAAAAGTCTCTTAATCATTCTGCACCAAACCACTTAACAACTGCCAAACAACCCATGCATCTCATCTTGAATCAACTGTTCCTTTTTTCCCTTGAGGATTCAGGGATCTCAAAGCATAAGATACATGCTTACAGCAGAGTTCATAGTTTTGACAAAATGAATTTTATAGGACGCTTAGAATGTAGAAGCATCCTAAAAAAATAGAGTAGATTATTGATTTGGTCTCTGTTGTTTGATGGTTTTTACAAAAATGGTCCTTGAACTTCATTTACTACAGATTAGGACTCGTTGTATGCCGTTTTGTAACAAATTGATCCCTACCCTAAACGACCATTCAGTTCATATATTTGTGAATAATGCATATGATATGTTGACATTATATATATATATATATATATATAGGTTGGTTATTATACAACCCTTTACATTTGTACAACCAATACAACTCAATCTTAACCGTCCATTTAATTTGATGAATATATATGATTTTATAGAAGTTTTGATTGTTTTCTAATATAAAGTATTGATCAAAATTAATGAACCCTATTCATCTTTCATAAACATTCAAATCATAATAAATGAACTCTCATCATTTCTATAAATATCTCAATTAATTGGGTTGCATTGATTGTACAAATGGACATAGTTGCATTTGAAATATACCCTATATATATATATATAGATATAGGAAATCCACAAATAAAATTACAATTTTCTACTGGAGTATTACTACTAGTTTTTTCAATAAATTCAAGATTCAAACTTATACAGAAATTTACAAACTGTGGAATCTACAAAAAATCCATCACTTATCTCCTTATTCAACTAATCCTTCAATTTTCACCTAAGCGGGTTCTCGAAAACTACAACGATGGGCTTATACATGCCATCAAAATAAATCGAGCATGACTTAGTCTTTTAAATTAAAGAATCGTTCTATGCTCTGATACCAATAAGGGGGGTATGACGGATTTTTTGGGTTTCCGTTAAACCACATATAACATAAATAAAATCATAATCAAAACATAAAGCAGAGTATACTTACAGAGATGGTAGAGACTTTTGAAGGATTTGAAGGAAGGAGAGTATGTGCAGCGGAGGTTTTTTTTATTCGATCTCTATTATTAAAGTTACAATATACGGTTTCTATATTCGATCTCTATTATTCGAATATAGAAACCGTATATTGTAACTTTATAGGCCTTTGATTTTTATGGCCTAAGTTTATAGGCTTTTTGACTTTTGTATCTTATCACTTATATTATTAGTATCTTTATCTTATCAGACATATCTTTTGTAATCATAGATAAGCATATGAAGGTCTATAAATACCTTCATTCTCTTCATTTGTAAATAAGAGTGAACGAATTTAAGAAAGAATTTCCTCTCTATATCCATGAGTTGCTAAATCTCTCCCTATCTATCTCTCTAACTTAGTTTCATACTCTTAAAACTCTCTTTCCAAACCTTCATATCATATCCCTTACCTATAAAAAAAAGAACATCCGTACATACTCTCCTTCCTTCAAAAGTCTCTATATATATATATATATATATATATATATATATATATAT